CCTGGCTGTGTGTTTCCTGGACGGGGCCGCCTGTGGAGTTGGTTGAGAGTTGCCTTTCATATCTCTGCTTCTTTCTATAAGTCTGCTTCTGTCTCCTTGAACCCCAGTCGGCCTCAGCAGTTGGCCGCTCATACTGAGCCTGGTTCTGCTGGAGGTTTCTTCCTGTTAAAAGATTTTTTTCCTCTCCACTGTCGCTACAAGCATGCTTAGTGTGAGGGATTGCTTTTGAGTAAATAAGTTGATGCAATCAACTGGTTTTCCTTAGATAGAAAAATCAATTTGACTGTATGATCTGGTGAACTGTAAAGTACCTTGAGATGACGTGTGTTGTGAATTGGCGTTATATAAATAAACTGAATTGAAATAAACAACCATACATTACCCTTTTTTCTATAACAGGGAAACCATAAGTTAGTCATTTGTATTTGCAATCATCATAGATTTTTACATTAAAGATAAGAAAATAAAGTCCTGTTTTTGTAGGAGCTCGAACTCGAAAGCGTCCAAAACCGGTCCAAAGAAACCCGTACAAAGCTGCAGCTCTAATATTGGGCTTACTGTGCCTCCTGTTGTTGGCAGGGATTGGAGTCCAGCTCTGTAAGTAAAACTGTATCTTTATCGTGATATTGTCTTGGTAGTCATAAGTATTCCTCCTTTAATGTTTATTTTAACATTTATGCTTTTACATTTTATTCATCCTTTTACTTAGATCTATTTATTAGGTTAGAACCAGATCCACCAACATGTGAAGTAAATAACCAGAATAGCACAGGTAAGAACATTTATCTTTAACTGTTGTTTTTAATCATTAGTGTTACTTTCTATTTAAGGAAGTATTAAATGATATTGAGTATATAGTGTATGATATATATTAATATTAACAATGAGTCCCTTCTTGCAGACTGGCAGGAGATTCGTACGTCACGTCTTTTCTATACATCCACTGAGAAGAAAAACTGGACAGAAAGCAGGAAAGACTGTCAGAGGAGAGGAGGAGATCTGGTGATAATAAAGAGCAAAGAAAAACAGGTCAAATCAAAAGATTTGATTTAAGGTTAAATCAAAGATTAAAAGACGTTTAATCTTCAACTCAGTTGAGGTTATTTGATTTTTTCCAGAAAATAAAAGAAAATGATCCATCATAAGAGCCTACAAACACACTCATAAAAAAATGACCAGAAAAGGGCAGAAGCAGGAAGCTTATAAATAAAATTTAAAATTTGCTATTTTTCACAAGTGAAAGGGCTTTGGAGGGTCATGATTATATAACTACAGTTAAAGTATCATTTACTAATTTGCTTTAATCTTAAAAAACAATCTGTTTTATCACTTTTACGTTTTATCACTTATCACGTTTTAAGACACTGGCATGATCTTTGATTTTACATAAAACATTGTTTAGATTTTGTTATAATATACAATATCTTTAAAGTTCATTATTCTGTATTTAAAAAAATCTTGGATTTGTGTGATCAAGTTAATCTGCTCTATGAACCTGACTAAGAAAAAGCTTTATTGCCAAGCAGTGCTTCAAACATACAAGTTTTTTTAGGGCTGCAATAATTATTTTGCACGTTAAATAATTTATCAATTGTTTCTTCAATAAATCTATTAATAATCAGGAAACTAAAGGTTCCTTAAAGAGGAAGTTTTACTAAATCAAACCAGGTGAAACTAAAATGTTTCCACTTGAGGAGTTCTGGGTAGAGCAGATTAACAGACGAAAAAGTTTTTAAATGCAAAAAGTTTACATTTATTAATTATTTATTATATATATATTTTTTATAATTTTGATATAATTACTGCTCTAATTGGGTTGCTCTGTCAGCTAAAGGCATGTTTTATAGTCTCTATACTCCATTTAATGATTAATCGATTACTAAACTAGCTGATGTTTATTTTAATAATCAAATAATCTCGATAAATCCGCTTATTCCAGCTCTAGTTTTCCTTTTATCATTAGGTACAAAAAGACAAGCAAAACAAGTTTAAAATAAATTAATAAATATATAATACACAAATTTAAAATGCATAATTTTGAATTGCAAATAAAATCACAAAATAAC